TGGAGGGGGGAAAGCGTACCCTTCGTTCCACTGTTGAAACAAAAGTAATGACGAACGAAACCACTTTGTGACGACAGGGTCCTTATAGAGACGAGTTTGTTTCAGTTCTTTTGTTTTTTGTTTGTTTGTTTTTCATTTACGCCAGAGAGTTTAAAGTACATACAAGATAGTGTTGACAGGCAGGTTCACTTCCTTCTCGCCATTCTGACTAGAATTAAAAATAAAAGAACTAGAATGTCAGTTTTTGTTTCGTTAACTGCTTGGTATGTCAGAAAGTGAATACTTTTTTTCCCCCATCCTATTTTGTGGAGGAGCAATTCGAGTGCACGGTTTCTTTCTGAGTACGCAATAAGCTAAGACATCATCATTAAGTACTCTGTTACAGCGTTATCATTGATTTACAATCAAATAAAAGTGGCACACTCAATCTTTTATCAGCATGTACAGCGTGCAGATTTTGGCCCTTTATATTATATGATTTCTACTTCGTTTTTCCCAGTTAAGGAGTGATAACATCGTTGGTTGTTGTTGTTTTTTTAATTTAGGAGGCGGGCGTCTGACCCTGACGGAGAGAAATACATTTTACTACCAACAGAAAGACGAAGATATTCAAGAAAAGATTCTTCCCATTCGGGAATCGAATTCGAGTCTTCAATCATGTGCGACTGCGAAGCACCTAATTGTTTCACCACAGATGCCTGAAAATCTAGTTTGAAGAACAAAGAATTTGTTCGCATGCATTGAATGTTTAAGCAGTCAGAAACAGAGGTAACTTTAATCCGGCTTATAAATTAAATGCACTGTAATGAGAGAGAAATGTGTCTACAGTCTACAAATCCAAAGCCGTCGAGTTTTCTAGAGTAAGCAAGACAGAACAACCCTCCTCCGTTGTAAATCTGCCCCCGTATTCATGAGGACCTTTAGGTTAAAGTCCAATCGATTTGAGATAAAAATAGAATTTTAAGTCGTGGGTACATAATACTCATACTATATACGGCTCACAAGTACAAGATGTAATTCTCACCGGTACAGAATTCATTCATTCATTCATTCATCCTTCATCAATTCATTCATTCAATTATTCATTCGGTCCTCCAAGTATCAGTCAAGTCATTCACATTCACTCACTCCTTCGGGTTGTTTCAATGTTTTCCAACTACATGTATTGCGGGTTACAACAAACCTATTACCATCTTCAATATCTTCCCCCTCCCTTTCTTCTTAACCCCCCCTCCTCCTCCTCCTCCTCCTCCTCCTCCTCCTCCTCATCATCATCATCATCATCATCACCATTATCACTATCATCATCATCATCATCATCATCACCACTATCACTATCATCATCATAATCATCATCATTTATATTGTCACCATCAGTGCTATGACAATCATTATGGTGTTACGATAGCCATTATCATTTTACGGTTGGTGTAAGAAAAGCAAAAACAGACAGCAGGGTGGTGAAGTATTTCCACCCACTCAAGCGTGGAGCTTACCTGTGCAGGGCCGTTGGGAACTTTCTGGGTCAACTGGTAAGTTTTTCTCTTGTCTTCCAACTCCATCTTGCGCTGCTGTGGGTAGTCCTCATACTGTGGAAGGGACGTATCCAAGTGTTTGATCTGGTAGTGGTAGTCCGACTTGATCCAGCGGAATATCGGGAACACGAAGGTGGCGTTCGTCACACGGTTCTCCACCACGATCTTATCTACGTACCAATCACTGGCCACCCAGGCTTTGTCTCTCCACAGTTCTATCCTCACAATTCTGCTCATTCTCTGGAGACCCTTTATCTTGCTGGCAGGAACGTGGAAAGTGTCCAAACAGCCTCGCTCGAAATCGTTTCTGAAGTAGTTATCCAACGTGATCGGTTCGGATGCGTCGCCGTCTTCATCATGCATGATGATTTTGACGTTCGCGTCTGTACCGGCATTTCTACGATCTCCCGTCTGCACGTAGATCATGTAGTCTGTGACGGGGGAGGTAAACACACAACCCATCGCGGCTGTAGGAAGAAAAGAAAAACACACGACACCTTCACTTACGATGAATCAAAACACGACAGAGCTGCCAGGTTACTTGCTAAACATCGGAATCCACTACAGTAGCTAGCTAAACAATGAGAACCACTAGATCTAGATCTAGATTTTCTAGCTCAACATCTGAAAAACTTTGTGAAAGAACGCGGAACACTGAAAAACACTTGTTGACTCACATAGCCGGCGAACAATACAGCTGGAAGCTTATCAAACAACTTTACTACACAACGATGATGATAGTAGTACAAACCTCACACGCGTGTTGATGATATGTGTGTGGTGTATGTGTGTGTGTGTGTGTGTGTGTGTGTAGGTCCTATATCCGTCCAACAGACTGATTTCTGAGAGAGAGGTGCTTCAGCCGCTATTCCCAGTAAACCTGTGTGTCTCTCGCCGTGAGGCCGCGCAATGAACTAGACACCAGATTAGACACCGGTCCCGCCGTTTGTGGGTTTGGCCTGGCAGAAACTAGGGCTAGAAATACTAGAATACGCGAGGGCTCCTGTTTTATAAATAGACTTGCGTAAAGTACGCTGAGTATCGAGGTCAACGGGAAAGCCCATCCACAGCAGCTACGGCGCGCAGTGCGAGGCGGGGGGCTCGCGAGCGTTCTTCCACATGACGTCATGAAGTTAGGAATGCGTTCCATTCAGATCAGCGACAAGAGAGAGAGAGAGAGAGAGAGAGAGAGAGGGGGGGGGGAGAGAGAGAGACAGAGAGAGAGAGAGAGAGAGAGGACTAGGGTTCATTGTTTGTTGTGGATTTTCGCGGGGGCTGCTTACGAAACGTGACCATTCCCTACCCCCCCCCCCCTCCTTCCTTCCTCCATTTTCTGTGTGGTCTTATTCCTCACGTACCTTATTTCTGCCCCCGCAACCCCACCCCCTACCCACACACCCCGAATACATAATACATACGCAAAGGGGTGTGGCAGGCTGTCTCGACTCTTCCTAATCTGTTGTGGGCAAATCAGGAAGTTCGTCATTTTTACCTACTTATAATCTATAATATTAAAGGAAAAAAAACCCTGTTTAATTTGAGTTCCACATGCTTTGTATTATATGCCTGTGCCGCTTCTCACTGGCTACAAATTCAATCTTAGCTCATAGAGCTTTCCTCACCAAAGACAAACATTGTCTTACTAAGCGCATCTACCTTTGGTATGAACTCGTAGAAATCTGAAAACGAAACATCGCTTCCTCCTGAAAACTTCCCTCTCTAAAAAAAATCATATTCTAGATATATCAAACGTTTGAACTCAGTTACCTTAGTTTCGTATCAGGTAAAATTATTAAGATCGTATTTTGAGCTTTCATTTAATCTGCCTGCTTGGAAATTCTGTACAACTTTTTTTTTCGATTATTGAGGGGGAAATCTAAAAATGAACGCAGCAAATAATTTAAAGAAAATATTATTCGCAGGTATAGAAAAAACATTGCCATATCTACAGAAATGCTGTTTTGAGTAAAGTGAGTCTGGAGTTTTGAAACGATCTTTTTAAAAAATCTGAGATTCACAAAAAAGACTACGTTATGTCTTTATAGCTATCTGCTCGCTCTCATCTTAATATACACAAACTATCTTATTCTCCTTGATCTAATATATTATTATTATTATTATTATTATTATTATTATTATTATTATTATTATTATTATTATTATTATTGTCGTTATGGTCATTATTGTCATTATTGTTATCATTATTATTATTATTGTCGTTGGTGGTGGGGGGGTTTTATGTTACTATTATTATTATTATTATTATTCATGTAATTGTTTTTGTTGCTATTATTGTTATTATTATCGTTATGAAAAAAAATCATTTATGACAAATCGTATTTAACATGATCAAACTGCAGGAATATAGTATATCAATAGTAGCTTTTGCGGCATTTTGTTTCGAGTGTGCGACAAGGCTTTCTTTTCTTGGAGCTATGCCTCAAAGTAGATCTTGTAGTTGATCACGGCATTTTCTGGACATGCTTCACAAAGTATCTCGTTTTGAAAGCATGGCTCATAGCGCTAAACTCTTCACGTGTCGTCAAGTGTTCTGTTTCATTCAAATTCTCTCGTGGCCTAGAGGTTAAGGTGTTGGCCTTTCATTCAAAAGGTTCCGGGTTCGAATCCGGGTAGCGACCGAAAAATTTTCTTCTCTAAATTTTTCTCCTATCACCTCATTTTCTGCTCTCTAGCAATATTCTGTCGTCTGTTTTCGACTCCTCTTTCCGCCCCCACCCCCTCACCTCCTTTGCCCTTCCCTCTGGGCTCCTGATTCTTTCTGCAGCCTTTCTACTGCTACTCCTTCGCTTCTTCTTACTGCTGTCTTTCAGACACACCCCTGATCTTCTGGTAAGAAAGATCTACACCTAGCCTTCTCGGACAAGGGCGAAAAATCTCAGAGGGCCCAAGTGCAAGTAGCGCACGTTAAAGATCCCTTGGTGGTCTAAATCGATAAGAGTAGGCTTCGGCCGCCACCCGGGCTAAATTCAAAATTTCCTACCAACTGAAAATATTAGGTGTGTCCCGCGCGCTCATTTGACCTTATGCAGTTGCATCTCGAGTTCTTATGCACAGTAGAATTGTAATTGTAAATGGGCTGATTCATCAATGTCATGCTCATAACTGTGCCTGAACTGCAATAGGGAACTGCTGCTTTTTCTTTCCTAATCCTTACTATCTTCATTTTCCTCTACTTTTTTGTTTGTTTGTCACACTCGTGTGACCCGCTATTTCCAGGGTGCCTTGATAGTCGAAGCAGGCTTTGTGCTGTTGAAGCTAGAGAGGTGAACAGAGTAAGTTATGCAGTTGCAAGCGCCGTAAAACCTCTACTAAAACAAAAACCTCTCTAATGTCGTTTCCGAATTCCCTTCTTCACACGCCTCCTTGGTGAAGTAGCGTGTGGAGCATCCTGGCTTTCCGTGTTATAGAGCTGGGCGAAGAATCAATTCCGGAACCGATTCCCACGACTAATGCAACGGAAGAAAAAATGTTCCCTTTCACGAAACCCAACATTTACCAGTCACTTTAATCATTAAAATCTTCTTTTTTTTAAAAAGAATTTATCTTTGAAAAATAAAAGTTGATGCTTTGGAGTGTTCCGAAATCAAGCTTATCCTAAATCCTGAAGATGTTCGGAGCCAAACAGGTAACCACCGGAAGAAATCACATCATTAGAAAGTAAGTAATTGGGATCGGAGTCAATTCTTACGATTCCTAGCTTTCAATCATCGGGAACATAGCCGCCCAGCACACGTTGAACAGTAGGCCTCGACACTCTGGTACTTTCAGTGCTAGTGCACAGAGTACAGAGCAATTATACATTGGTATGAAGTCAAGTTCTACATCACCCTCTTTGTAATCCGAAATGGATGGATCTGAAGGAGAATTAAAGTCAATTAAGAGCAAGTTGAATTGCAGCACGCGTGAATGCGCTACAATAATTACACATAAATATCAGCACGCCTTCGTGAAGTGCAAATTATTTGTATTTGTATGTATGACAATTTAAGAAGTAATATAAAAAGACAATGAATTTGTGAAGACTTGAGGACTGGGGGTTAGCAGTAGAGTATGGTTTCCCTATTTCGGACTAGACTCTATTAACAAATAAATGTTTAAGTACCTGGACCTGAGCTGATGGAAGTAACATTTGTGCGCAACTTAGCCGTTGATTTCTATAAGAAAAAGAAGAGGGAGATAGGCTAACGGGAAATAACATGTGTGCGTAACTTAGCAGTTGATATCTAGAAGAAAAAGAAGAGGGCAGATAGGTTACACTATAAATCATGCAGGATGACGTCTGAATCGTTTGAACACATCAAAATAAAACTGGTCGGTCAATACACTTTTTGATGAAACCTTTGTTATATTCAGACCACGATCACCTGGGCTTAAACATATTTGTTTACAATTAGTCATAATATATTAATTCTTTGAGGGCTATTTTATCTTGTAATTATAATAAAATAAGATCTAATAGGATAATAAAATGAGTTTATTGCAAGAGTCAAGGTGAAAGACCGTGGTTCATCCTTCGAGTAAATTGCAACCGTGTATTCATGAGTTCCAACGAGTCATTACAACTAACAAGTAGAATAAATCATGATCTACCACTAATACAATGACCATTAACAATCTCTCTTTGTACTTGTTTTTTGGGGGATTTTTTTTTTCGTTAAAAAAAAATCAAAAATACACATCTTGTATTTGCAAATGCCACATTGCAAATTCAAAAGCCACTCTGTAAGATAAAATATGCCCCATTGTAACTTTAAACGTACAACTTTTTATTATGACGTCTCGTGCTTGCAATTGTCAATTTCAAACGTGACAATGTTTAGTTTTTGTTTTTTGTTTTTATTGTTTTAGCAGATGATTTACGGCGCTCACAATAGCATACGGTCATATGAGCGCCAGAAGATTAAAGGTGTTACAAGAAAGTAACAAACATAAAAAAGAAGAAGGGGAGATAAGGACGATAGATGTTTGTTAGGGAGAGCACCCGCCAACCACCCACTGAATATGTTTGTAAGTTCAAACTTTACGTTATACCTTATGCTGTTTTATGTCTGATCTCCAAACTCGTGCGCGTGTGTCTACATTAATTATGACAAACCTTGATCAAGAGTACTGCAAATTGGTTTTGAATCTAGAATAATTACAAATTGTAGTTGATTATACTGTTTTTGAAATCAGAACAAGGATTTGAATATAATAAGTATTTCTTATTATATTATCTCTATACTTTTTCACTAAGAGTGATACCTGTGCTGTTACCCCCCCCCCCCCCCCCCCAAAAAACAAAAAAAACAACAACAACAACAACAACAACAACAACAACAACAACCTTAAAACGACGCCAAAACTTTGGATTCTCGCTGGTCAAAAAACGTCACAATTGTCATAAGGCAGTCGAACTGAGCCCACTTTCTCTCCTCGCCAGTTGTGACCATTAATTGCTTAAACAAAAGCGGATTTTTGCATATGTGTATTGGGGTAAAATGTACTAAAGCTTTGTAGAATCTTTCTCGCACTTACAACAAATTTGAATTGACAAAAAAAAGGGTGCCAGTGAAGTTCACGACAAACAAGACTTGAACATTGATTTTTTGCAGTTATGACGTTTTTGCTTTCAACTCGCGAAACATAAAATTTGTGACGCCCCAATTGGATGCAATGTTAATAGTTTAACCCTGTCCGTAAGCCCTGGGGTCATTTTGTACCCCCGGTTTGTATTTTTCACATTTTCGAATACTTCAAGAGTGAAAATCTCTTGAAAACTTAAAGTATTTCTCAAAAAAATCATTTTGACGGACTGGTATGCAAAGCATACGGATTGGATTAGCGAGTAAATTTCCTCTTTGGAAAGTGGTGGCACAGAGTTCCCCACGTCGAATGGATACGATAGTTAAACACGACGTACGGATAGTTTAAGATCTAAACTGCGAAGAACCTGTCTGCAAGGGTCAGCCCTGTCTGAGAGAGA